TAATAAGTAAAGCTCTATCTAAGGTTGCATTCCTTGTAATATCCCAATGGATTTACTTAAGTCAGATTTATAGGCACACTTCTATTAAGAAGTATTCTCTCTTAGTTTGCACCTTAAATAGAAAAAAATTTATAACTCTTTTATGATTTGAATTCATTCCTAAAAGTTTTTATGGCCAAATTTAGAAAAAATAATTGACTTGTGCTTATATTGTAGAGAAACTAAATTTACTATTCAACATTATTTAAAAAAATAATATTACTATAAAATGAAAAGTATGGTTGCCAAAGAAGATAATGTGATGAAAAACAAATTTTTTAATTTGGTATATAATCTTGTATCTCTAAGTTTAATTTGGTATATAATCTTGTATCTCTAAGTTTAATTTAAGTTTTATATAATCTTTTATCTCTAAGTTTAATTTTTTAATCTTGTATCTCTAATTTTAATTAAAAATTAAAAATGAAAATTTGGCAAAAAACTTCATATGCTATTCAATTTTTTTTGTAGTAGCTCCTATCTTATTTGTGAAAAAAAAAAAAAAAAAAGAAAAAAAAAAAAGATGATGAATCACTATAGATGTGTGTAAATTATTGATGGCTTAGTAAGATTACCATCAAGAATAGGTATCTTCTACCAATAATATCAAGACTTCTTATTTAATTGAATTAAGTGATTATTTATACAAAGATAGATCTACAACGAGTATACAATCTTATATGTATTAAAAAAAATGAATAAAAGATTATATTTTGAACCAAATATGGCTATTTTTAATACAACGTTATGCCATTTAAACTCATAAGTATACCAATTTCTTTTTAGCATCTAATAAATGATTTTTTTTATATTTTTTAAATAATTTTGTTATTTTTTATTTAGATAATATATTAATTTATTCTAAGAATAAAAAATAGTATGAATTTTATATCTATTGCATATTGTAAAAACTTAGAGATGCAAAATTTTATGTCAAGATAGAAAAGTATATTTTTATACTATTTAATTTGAATTTTTAGAATATATTATTTCAAATAAAGGCTTTATGATAGATCTTAAGAAAGTTCAAACTATCATAGATTAAAAAATTCTAAGAATAAGAAGAAACATCAAATGATTTTTAAAATTTATCAATTATTATTAAATTTTTATTAAAAATATTTCTCAAGTCAAAATTTTACTTATACATTTGAGTTGTAAAGAAAAAAATTTATAGAACAAAGAACCAAATGTAGTTTTTGAAGTTTTAAAGAAAACTTTTATTTTTGTTCTCATCTTCTACTGCATCAACAATTCAAAAGAATCTTTTAGAAAGAAATGCATTAGACTTTGCTTTAAGTATGATATTATCACAAATGTGAAAAGATGACAAAGTTTATTCAATATCATTTCTTTCAAAAAAATTAATTTAACAATTAAAATTAATTACAAGATTTATAAGAAAAAATTCTTAAAATTTTGGATTTATTCTAAGAATAAAAAAATTATCTATAAGGTGCTTCTAATTCAGTAATTATTTATAAAAATCAAAAGAATATAAAATATTTTATATCAATATATATTTTAAATTTTTTTCAAGCCCATTGTTATATTGGGGGACAACCATATAGTGAAAATATGATCAAAAATAAATTTCTAATTAATATCCAATCATCTTAGTTCAATAATAATTCAAGATATTTAAACATGGCTTTTATAAAAGCCTCTTAGTTTATTTTCTTATCTTAATAGCTAGTAAATTAAAGATTGATTAGTAATTTTATCTTTTATACTTTAAAAATTCTTTTACTACCTTAGAAAGGCCATAAATTGATAAAAATAAATTAAAAAAGATAAATAATTAGCATGGTTGATACTAGGATTAAATTGAGGATAAGATTGAGCTAAAAAATTCCAAGAATATGTTAGATTGATATTCAAGGGTCGATCCTTTGTAGAACAAAGCTCGAAATTAAACCTCTAGTCACTAAAATAATCGCTTAGGAAAAAACAGAGAGACATTTGAAGATTTATAATTAGGATTTGGGAGCTAGATTCAAGTTAATTTCAAAGGTGTAAGGCTTATTTTCAAAAGGTTTGAAATGACTTTACAATCATTATTCAAAATCAAGATTTGTATCAATGATTTGGGATTTATGTAATACAATTAGGACTAGCACTCTTGGCTAGTGGGTACAATTGGTTTCACATCTATAGTTCAAAATTTGACATTACTTGATTGATTTGGTATACTAAGTATGTGTTAATGATTGATTTTGTATTAATCTAATAGTAAAATTACAAGATATCTGGATTTTGGTACAAGAGGGTATTAGAAGTTGGTAATTTGGACTTGAATAGGATTTCTATGATATCTGAAGATCTATTAGTGTCACGGACATACTCATGTAAGCTAATAATTACATATATAAATAGATAGAAGTAAGTAAAAATAGATAAAAGTAAATTAATTCTATAGTATTTGATATGGAAGCTTCCTAGAAGCTTCATAGATACTACTTTGACTTTATAGGTATCTTTAATTGACTTTTTGGATTAAAAACGTAGTCAATAAGTTGGCCATGTGCCACACATGTTGTTAGCTTGAAGACCAAGCTAATAATGTGGCCCACACATAGAAAAACTTGCCTTATAAGTCAATGCATGTCTCCTACAAAGTCAACACATATTGGAGGTCCTATAGAACGTTTCCACGTAGTCCCTAGTTAGATAGTATATATAGAGACAAGAGTGAAGCCTTCTTCATTCTTGTCAAGTCCTTTCTTGTTTCCAGTCTAGTTTCAAAAGTCTTCATATTTTCTAATCTTTGGCAATAGCCATTCCAATTTCTCTTTCAATATACATACTTGTTTATTTATATTTTTTTACCTTTCTTTGAGTGAAGGCTCACTTGTTTGAATTACTTTTTCATCAAGTTCTTGTCCTTGACAATTAGTCACATTAAGGTGAAATTTGGCATGGTGTTAGAAGACTTTAATATCTATCTATACATCAATTTTGAGTTGAAGTTAATGGTTGGAGAAAGAAAAATTACTACTAGAATATTTGTATTAACTTTCAAGTTCACAACTAAGTGACATCATTGTAGTTTTTGGATTTTTTCTCACAATCTATAAATTTGAATTGAATTGAATTTTTTTTTAAATATATAGAAGGCTTATAATAGCATTTTTGTGTAAAGATTTGTACCAAGTAGATGGTTAGATTAGAAGTTATAGCTTAGCAAAGCTCATTGATTAAGATTAGAGCTTGCAAAGAAAAACCAAAATTATCTAATTATAAAAGTAATAAGGCAATTGGAGTTTATATATGGTTGAATTTACTAAATAAAGTGTTTTTGAGCACTTTGTACTAGCTTTAAGTACTTTTGAATTAGAATTCGAATTGCATTCTTCTTATATGGATGAAACCTATTAGGATTTCTTGGATATTTGGAAAGCACAACTTCAACTTCTAGAGCCAATACATTCTGAAATAAGACAATATATATTATGACACTATTAGAGCATGTCTTTGTTATGATTTAAATTTAAGATTACTTTTTAATTAAAAAAATAAATTTTTTTTAATGCCTTTTTTAGATGTTCTTATCTTGTGTAAAAAAAAATAAATAAAAATAAAAAATAAATAAAAAAATTGACCAACAAAAAATAATTCTTTTAAAAAAAAATAATTTCATCTCCAAGCAATAAAATTAATGTTAACTATTGATTCAAATTTTTTAATCAAATTCAATCAAATATATTCTTAAATTTTGTTGTTCACTTTATTAAGAATAATTCTTTTAAATCTCATAATATTTTTAAGTTTAAATTAAAGAATAATCTTTTCTATTTCAAAAAAATTAGTATATTCAAAAAGGTGAAGTATAACTAAGTGCTCTATAAACTTGCTACAATTTTTCAACTACAAGACATTTTTCATACATCAAGTTCTTAGAGCTAATATCAAGAGATTTTTAGTAGTCTTAATTGTAGAAGTTAATTAGAAACTTTGTACAATCATATAATATTTATTCTAAATAAAATAAAACTCCTTGTTATTGACAAAAAAAAATATAATATCTAAATATATATTTATATATATATTTAGATGTCAATAAAAAAAATATAATATTTTTTTTCTTTAAATATTTATTAAATTTATTATATTTTTATGTTTATAATTTTATTTATTTGTTTATGTGTATGTATGTATGTATGTATATATATCTATATATATATATATATATATATATATATATATAGATATATATATATATATATGTGTGTGTGTATGTAAATTTTAGATCTATCTATTTAACTAATTTTAATAAAAAAATATCTACTTAAAATTATTTTCATACTAATATCATTTTCATATAATGTATCTTATAACTTATGTAACTTTTGTCTTCTATTCAAGAGGTTTCATGTAAAATTTTAATAAGGAATAGGCAATGAAAAATATTTGCACCCAAATCCTTTTGATTTAGACTCTTTCTTGCCTAATTTTTCTATTATATTTTGTGAACTTTAAAAACAAGCAATTTAAACAATTTTTTCTTATCTTATATTTAGTTTAATCAGTTATTGTAAATACAATGTGTAAAATGATGCTTTTCAATATTTTTGTTTTATTGGATGTAGTCTCTTTAATACTTGATCCATCCTATTGTTTTTTGTGAAATTTGGTTTAATGCAATATTAATATTAAAATAAGATAACAAGTTTGTTTCACTTTATTCCTTCAATGTTTAATTTCTCAATTGTAGAATCTTTAAAACTCATTTTGTGCAACTTCCATCTACCATTGCCTCTATGATTATTGTTTAAACATATAAATCTATGTTGGCTAGTCAAACAACTTGCATATTCTTTTAAAAGCATGTGAACATTGTACTCATAACTCTTGGAGGCTGGGTTTCATGCATTACATATTGCAATAACCAAACTGGGGTTGAACATCTGATATAGCCAACAACCCAAATGCTTCAAGTTTAAAGAACACTGTGCACAAAGTATCAGAGAATCACTACGCAGAAGTGAACTTTGCAAATACCATAGTAAAAGAAAAATAGGTCACAGCACATGGATCAAACTCCGATCGAGCATCGTCAAAACTTAAACTGAACAACTCCTTGTCTTCTGCACTGCTTCAAATCTTGGAGATACCTCGCAACTTACAATTATTTCCACTAGTTTTCCGCAAAAGTACATATAACGGTAGGCATATAGGTTACCCTGTCCATGAGGAATGTCTGTACTCCTCAGACTCTTTAAAATCCTGCTAGGAAAGACCTTGAAACCAAATTGGAGGATTGACATACTCTCCTCCGAGAACCTGATCTGACACGCACTGATCGATGAATGAAAACGGTCTAGAGGGTGATGTTTTGCCGTGTGAGATCAGCGCATGGTTGGGGCACGACGAAGAAGTATGATCCTGACACCCATGAGCAGTTCCAGACATTTTTTGTTGATCTAACGTCAAGGGCTATGGTTTTTAGATGAATGTGACGAAATGGAGACTCTGGTAGTCCCTGCAAGATACCTGCTTGTGTTATGTTTTCGCCCACAATGTTTTTGATCACAATGTTTTCAATCACTGGATAGGCGGTTCGGTTCCAATTATCATCAGGATGTTGTCCGTAGTTAGCCATGAAAGCCACTGCAGTCTTGACCGAGTGGAGAAGTAGGTTATGCACTGCGACGTGTTTAATGTATCCTCCACGTCCTGGTGAGGTTTTGAAGCGCACTCCCCATCTAGCACCATACAACACCATGTCGTCAACCTGCAAATAAAAGGGGTAAGTTGAAGCAGTTCAATCACGTGTTCGATAAATGAAGTATTTCTGAAATCAGTGACGGTAAACACCGACCTTGACGTTGGAAATACCACCGGACATCTCGCTGCCAAACGAAACCCCAGCGTGGATGCCAAATGTTTTTGATGCCGAAACTATGCGTCGAATCTGAATGTGCTTGCTGGGCATCCCGTAGGATATTCCATATTGATCCCATCCACTCTTAATTGAAATTGCGTCATCACCAACACTGATATAGCAATCCTCAATACAAACATGTTGGCTTGAGTCTGCAGAATGAGCCCAACAAAAAATTACTCATCATTCGTAAGTACTGTCCAGCAGTCACTTCAAATAACTTCCATGCAACCTGTGAAAACATTGGCAGTCTACCACGCAAGGAGGGTGAGTCGGCAATGTTTGACGCACATCAAGGGACGTAGTTCCAACTCTAATCGTCACATTGACCAGTAATCCATGGGTTAAACGCAATCCAGGGACTGCTTTGAACATACCACCGAACCTTTCTCTAACATTCTTATGACATAATTCCTCCTGGTGATTTGTTAATAATGGTACCTGGATCGATACCATCCGTGTTCGGAGAATCGTTTGGATTCAAGACAGTCAGGTTTTTGATTACCACATTCCTGGGGAATCAACCACAGTATTCATTTAAATTGAATTCTACCCTTTTCAATCACGCTTACGCTTTTAGACACCAAACCTGCCTCCCGTCAAAATATTGACTTGTGCTAATTCTCTGCCCAGACGATATCCAAAAAGAGTATCCTAGAAATAAACAAATAATCTAACAGGCTTTCTACTTCTACGAGCCATAAATTGCTAATCTTACAGTGAAACACACTTAGTCCATGTAAATAGTATAATCGTCCGGGAAAAGAACGGAATGCAAATTCTCCTGATCAAAGCATTTAAACTTCAAACCACATTCACAAAGAGCATAGGAGAACTTATCCTGGTTGATATCACTACTTGCAATACACTGGATGAATGGTCCAGGACGGAGAGTTTTGAAAAGTGAGGTTAAAGATTAGAATGTCTTGCGATCCGATGAGCTCCAGCACATGACTCCGAGAGTAATCTAGTGTTTTGTTGCGAAAAGCCTTCCACCAAACCCCTCCTTGTCCATCAATCGTCCCATTTTCACCTGAAAGCAACTTCCAGCTCTTATGAGAACCTGAAAGACTGTCTGCGAGAGTAAAGGCCCTCAAGCCCTTCCAAAAGACCACTAGTTCCACACTTGTCTACCCGATAGAAAGCGGTCAAGTTGAAGATTGGCACATTGGAAGCAGAAACTAGGGCTTAGCAATGTACCCGTGATGGTAACATCTTCAAGATTATCGCCATTGATGAGGCTACTGTATCTTGCACCCGGCAGTTCACGACCCCGACCATATGAAGGCAACTCTGGAATGATTGGGTAATCGTTGAAGTCCTACACAGTTTTGGTCTGTAAGCTCATTTGCATGCCTGTCAAACTATTGGGAAGATTTTGCAATGTCACTACAGCAAAAATCTTATGCATTCAGCTGAACAAAGATTTCTGGTGCAAGTTGCACACCTCGGATCCAAGGATATTCGCCCCGTTTTCTAGGAATAACGTGAGGTGACTGATCAGATTGATACTTCCTGTGAGCCAACGTCCAGCAGGAATGGTCAATTGCGCTCCGTCACTGTCGGCGTTGCTATGAAGGTACTGTAACGCGTTCTCAAATGCCTTCGTGTTCAGTGTCTTGCCATCTCCTACTGCTCCAAAGTCGGTTATAGAAACTCTCAGAGGACGTGGTTTCCCGACGTTGACAATGTGAGCACAGCTCTGCTTTGACTGGCAGACCACAATGGCATCTATCTCAGTCTCGATTACATTAACGGCAATAACATCTGTGTGCAGTGTGCCGAGTACAACTAACCATATGCAGCAACGTGGGTTGATAAGGTGTACAAAATTTCATATCTCAAAATGAAACTACGGAGACCCAGCACAGATGCGATTTGGAATACATCAGTCGTTTGCAACTTGAATCCGAGCAAACAGTTACAATGACTTTGCAAGATAGTTCTAACCTTCGTACCTCCTTCAATACACACCATCAAGCGATAAATAAGCAATGTGCTAACAGTTCTAACACCCGAAAAATGAAAACCGAAAATTTGAGCTCCGTGCAAAGATCTAGCAAATGGGAATCTCTCTTACAGTGTGGTGTCCGAAGAAGCTCGTGTGCAAATCCATGGGACTCATGACGCCCCCAATACCATCTGGTTGCGAGAATCCTTCGGCCAGTGAGTGGTCGACTATGCATGTGGGCCAAAACTTTTCAGGTCCTACGCAGCTCAATAGGAAAAGGAGAAACCGGAGGCTCTGGTAGCTGTACCGCCTTATCATTGCACCTTTCCAAGAATGAAATACCACCAACTGAGAATATCAATTCCTGCAAAGGCACCTCTCCTGCGCATTAACAATCTGTCCTTATGTCTCGAATCTGCTCAAGCTCTTGGTTTCCGATCCAGCTGCTGAAAAACGCGACAGTGTGACGTGGAGCAGTGCAGACTCCTTGCAAACGAGACCTACAAATTGAATTGACTGAACGCTACCTCGACAACGCACATCCACGAACCTCTCTCATCACACAAAACGACGTTCCCACAGCATTGCAATTACACACCGCAACACTAGATGACTATGTGTCCAGATTTCACATGAAGGACAAACTCTATATATAAAAATGGCATTGCAGTGGACAAGTAAGAACCTCCCAGCCTCGTATGTCGCCATCAGCGTCAACTTCGGGGATGCGTAGACCATCTTCTGACCAGTCGAACATTCATCTGGTGCACGAAGCACCAAGATCGTGATCAGAACCACAAAATCGGCGAAAATGCAGAATGGATTGGCACAAATTCCAACGTCTGCGACACTCAACACATCGACGTTGAGCCTTTTAGGTGCAGAATCTGTCATTAAACGTGTGGTTTTCAACACTGGGTTTGTTGATGAATGACATCTTTCAACGAAAGAAAGAAAAATATGTATACATTTATATATATATATATATATATATATATATATGTATATATAATTTTATTTATATACATTCACACGATAAAATACAAATACAGAAACAGACCCGACTCTTAGAAATGTGAAATGAAGGGTTGTGTGCATGAATTTCTGAGACAGCTCATTGTTGATTTGATGATAAGAATATGTTCATGGGGATGTGTGAATGGTGAGCTCCATCACAAGACATTTTGTGATTATGAAACTATTCAATTGTATCAGCATTCGACCATGTGCAGGACAATTAAATAAGAATTGTGTGATTGTACACACAATATTCTTCAAATGATTTCCATATTTTGGATTTACTCAAAATTACTAATTTCTTTTTATTTCTATATAAATAAATTCTTTCTAAAAATTCAGAGAAAATTATTTTACACGTTTTAAAAAACTTTATTGTGGAACCTATAACTTTTATCAAATCATGAAGATTATATTTTTAATAATACTTCTACCAACAAAAATAATCAAAAGTATTTTTTACTAGTGTCTTTTTTTAAAATAATTCAAATATATATAGATAAATAATTTTTTATTATATAATTTAAATAAAATTTAATATTTTTTTGTAGCTTAATGTGAATAATCAAGAGTATTAGTAATTTTTATAGTATCATTTTTAATAATTAGAATTTTTTATAGATTAATATTATTTTAGAAATATAAAATTCTAATGTACTTTAAAACATTTTATTATAGATGGTTGTAATAGTAATTATAAAATAGTATCATTTAAATAAAATATATCAATAATAAGAATATAATATCAAATTATATATTAAGAGCCAATTTAAAGAATTACAAATTTAGAATTTCATTAAAATAATTAGATTTTTTTTTTAGTTTATATATATATATATATATATATATATATATATAGTATGCTAGATAATGTAAAGACTTAAACTTAATTCTTTAAGTTTAATTTAATATTTTTTATATCAAATTAGAAATAAAAATTATAAAAATATTTAGTATAGACATACATAATGAAATCTTCTAAACTCAAATTAAAGTTTATTTTTATTTTTAAAATGAGTTCTAAAATTATTCAAATAATTTAAAGAAGTTTTTTCTTGATTCTATTCAAATTTAATAAATTGTTTCTTTAAACTTGAAATATTGAAAGTAAATTTTGATTCAAATATTTTAAAAAATCTACCTTATTATAACATGTGAGTTATTTCTATATTAAATTAATGGTTAAATAATAATAATAATAATAATAATAATAATAATAAAATAATATTATTATTAAGAATCAACTTATTTTTAATTGATACATGATTCCTTTATTAAATATTTTATAGTGTGAAGTGAAGAAATCTTTATACGTAGGGGATAAAGTGAGAGGCTTCAATTTTTAAATCCTTCAATTAGTAGGGACAAAGAAGCTTCACTTAATTGACTTTATATTTAGAAAAATTAACCTTTATACCTTTAAAAGAAAAAATGAAATAGAATGCATGTTTTTGTTTAGTTTTTTATTCAAATTGCTTTAATCCAATTTGATTTTATTCATACATCTTTAAGTGATTATTATTGTAAATATTGCTTATGCTTCAAATAATCTAATCCATACATTAATTCTATTCAAGTTTAAAGTAAATTCAAAACTTTTCATGTTAATATTTAAATTATTTAAGAAATAATAATGTATTTGAACCTAAAATAAGTAATTTAACTATTTTTAATATCTATCTAAAATGTTTATAATACAAAGTAGAAACTTCTTAAAATTGAAATAAAAAATAACTATAAATATAAAGTAAAGAATTTAAAATATTGCAATACAATATAATTTAATTATCATCAAAACCACATAATAGTGCTTAAAAGTATAAACATTTTAGAATAATAATTATAGTAATATTAAAAGAGTTTTAAGATGAAGTAATAGCAACATTTAAATTAATGTGATTTTTTTTTAGTATAATTAAATGCTCATTGAATAAACAATATGAATATTCTAACATGTGTGTATTTTATATCAGTAATAAATTGGAATATTTGTATATATATATATATATATAGTAATGAAATTGTTAAATTGATCCAAGTATTTACTATATTTTTCTAGCCATCCTAACCATTATTGAAACCCTCTTCACTATCGGATCCACATTGGTCAAGAATCAATAGAAAAATGGTTGAATCCTCAACCAATGATGTTAGGTGTATTGATTTAGTAAATGCCTAGGTCACTTTATCAATCCCCTATATATATATATATATATATATATATTGCAATAATTACAAGATAAAACTATTGCCATGTATTGGTTGCATCAGCAAAAAAATTGAAATAAATATGTAAAACTAAGTTTTAAAACTAATTAATATAAATGTACATATTATTTGTACAAAGTATATTATATTTGGAAACAGCCAGGGCCGTTCCTTCCAGACACGACTCGAAGCTGCCCCGTCAGCGCCCCCTGCTTCACAAGGTTCTAGACCCTTCGTCACCGGCCCACCCGGTCAGCTTCTGGATTGTTCCTTCCTTCCAGCAGGTTCCCCAATGCTACACCCTCGTTCATCCCTCCACTATAAAGTCTCCTCAGGGTGACGACAACCGGTCGTAACGACATCACCCGTCATTTCTGAGCTACACAGTAGCATCACTCTCATCTCACTCCGGCGATTGCTTCTTCGCGAGATTGTTTAGCCTTTTGCATTGTGCAGAGGCTCTTGGTTATTGTACATCTCGATTGTCTTTGTGTGTAGTTTTGTGTGGATCTTCAGTTGTTGGAGAGGTTTTTAGTGCGTGTGGTGGCTCTCGGTGTAGAATTTTGTAGCGCTATGGCATTGGCACACTTCTTCGGGCGACGCAACAGCTTTTTTGATTTTCCGGATCCGTTCGACGCTATGGTGAGCATCATGGATCACTCGCCAGCTAGTTCGTTCATGCGAGATGCTCATGCGATGGCGAGCACCAATGTGGATTGGAAGGAGACTCCGACCGAGCATGTGTTTGTGGCTGACCTCCCGGGGTTGAAGAAAGAGGAAATCAAAGTGCAGATCGAGGATGGAAATATGCTGACCATCAGTGGACAACGGATTAGGGAGGATGTGCAATCGACAGATACTTGGCACAGAGCGGAGCGGAGTAGTGGTCAGTTCAAGCGCAGGTTCAGGCTACCAGAGGGCACTAACCTTGATCGTGTCTCGGCAAAGATGGAGAACGGCGTGCTTGCTGTCACGGTGCCTAAAGTCGAGGCAGAGAGGGAGAACAACCTTCGAAGCATTGAGATTGACGGCAACGAGGGAGAACAACCGCTTGCAACTGATCAAAATTCTGGCGACAATGTTGTGACAGCAGCGACTACGGAAAATGGTAAATAGACGCATCGAAGTCGAGTACTTCCCAGCTGAAAGTGAATAGAGAAGTTTTCTAATAACGAGGGAAGACGTCAAAAATCCTCCTCCCTCAATGCCATCCAATGAACCGCGATCTTTAGAGGTTTACAGGATTCTAGTAATTAACATGAGTGGCTGTAACTGGTGGGTTTGATCCTGCTCAATCCTTACAAATCTTGTAATTAGTGTATCACCTCATTCTCACAAAAACACAAATATTCTCTATACAAAATTTAACACTATTAATATAGAAAAACCTTGCAACATTTCCCTAACTACAATGATTGTCACTTTAGTATGCGGAAGACACATATGCTTACCAACTACCCTTGCATTCAAATCAGTAGCCAACATCCAAGTATTCAAATTGGGATTTATAAGTGCAAAAGCCTCTGAACCTACACTAGACTTTACTGTGCGGTGATCACATCATAATCATCAACAAGTGAACTATGTCCACCCTCGCACAAATGCCACGAAAATGAAAATCACTAAAATGCCCTTGAAATACTGAAAAACACTACCACTTAAAATCATTCGTTTGATGAGACGATGAAAAACTAAACCGCCACATATCATCAGACAACTTTATGAGATAAAGCAATAAATTCATGAGTGGAACAGCATAAACTTACTGGAAGTACCCTCATCACTATATCACAACTTCTGAATAAATTCCTACACGTTCGCTCTCTTCGAATTACAAATCTATTGCTCCTCACTAAACTAGCCTCAACCTATCGTTTTATAAATTCCCCTCAAACCTAGAGCTAAATTGGAGCAGCATCAACCATTTCGTACTCAAATCTGCTGCGCCATCGCCGAGGAAGCAAGCATTGGCCACCCCACCGCTGCTGCATGTAAACCAAGATAGCCAGAAGAAGAATGACAGAAGGAATGAGAATATCCGACGTAATGGAGTAGAAATCCCACTCAGGATTGGCATACATATACATGTTGGGGGCAGCGGGAATGAATTTGAACATCCGACAGAGGTCGTAGATGTGCGGCAGCGAACGCACAAGAGCCATTCCGAAGTAGAAGGGCCGTGATAATGGGGCTTGCTCTTTAGCACCCCACAGAATGTTTCCAACTACTTGAGGGAAAAGGTGGAAATCCAACAGGAGGCCACCGTAGGCCTTGATAGCCCACCACAGTCCACCATCATTTCCCGTCCACAAAAACTCGGGCTCATTGGGTCTAAAACCAAACAAAGCGTGGAACAAAACCGAGATGAGCCCACCCACGATATACAGAGGAAGAATAACGTATAGCACACGTCTCTCTTGGACGGCTGCTGCCAAATCGCCAGTAGCCCTTGCCTTGATCCTCGCTTTCATCACGAGCTGCAGCAGTCGAAGTTGGAGCAGCATGGCAGCCATAGTTATAAGACGAACGACGACTTCGTTCACTTCCGGCCACCCAGCAGTCCTTCCCACCACTCTGTAGTCATTCTTCTTCTTCTGGAACAGAGCCTCGAAGTTTAGAATCAAGGGAATCATGTGCGCCAGGCTGAGAAGCAGCAACATGGAGGTTGAGATGTAAAGCAATGTTTCGGGATACTTTTTGCTGTAAACCAGTTGCAATATGATAAACACGACAGTGAGGGAGAGCATGACAACGCTTATCACGATTTCAAGGTCCACACGCCACACGTTCTCCTCTGTCTGAATGCGCACATTCCCAGAAAATGTTTCTTGCTTGAAGTAGAGTGGATCAGAAGGAATGCGTAGGCTCTTCACAGTGCCCTTGAGAACTTCCGTAGACTCAGTCGGTGGCAACTGGACGATGATGGAGACTTCACAATCTTTCTCATTCTCTAATCCCTGCAGCTGCTTCATCTTCAAATCCACCCTTCGACACGCGATCAAACAGAGCTTCCCAGTGCCAGAGTCATATATGCCCTCCGCCGCCATCGTCGAATCGAAAGTCCTCTCGTTTCCAATTTGATAGAAAATGGAATAACTTACATTTATTATCCCTTGATTGCCTAACCCAGTCACATTTCCGGATGTGCCATGTAACTGCCCATATGTTCTAAATTGATCGCCGACTGTAAAGAGATTCAAGTTCACAAAAGTGCTCCCAAGCGTGAGACCCTTTGACCCATCTTTCACACCATGGAACTCAATATCACGCCAACTGGCACCACTGGGGTAACTGCTGGAAGACTTCTTATCATCCAAGTCACAAAGTTTCATTGCAGTGGCAACCTTCGTGTACTTATACTCCGGCGGATTTTTGACGCTCGTGAATCTTGTAAATTGCAGTCCCGATTGGATCTGCCTGAAGCGGATTTGGAGGAAATAAGATGGATCATCCTGTGTGCGGAGGCTTTTGATGCTACCTATCACCGAGGATCTCTGCGACACCGTGAAGGTCAACGGGAATTGCATTGACACCACAATCCGACAATCTTCCGTTCCTGTTCCCAGCGATAATGCAAATAAATGAACTCAGTGTACAATCGCGTGGAATAAAATGAAAGGCAGCCTGAGACGTTGTTGCCGGTCAAGCCATCAAACAAAACAATCAGAAAAGAATACATAGAATTATCTTGTGAAGCTAAGGCGGAGGCAGTCACTGACCATAGAGACGGCAGGCAATCATGCACAGCCTGCCGGTCCTTGAGTCCCAGGTGCCTTCTGCAATCAGCATTCCATCTGAAGCGGTGGGATCCGCAAAAGGGTCGATGGGCGATGGAAAATTTGTGACAACTAGAATTCCTTGAATACGATCGCCATTGCAGCGAACTCTGTGGAATCTCAGAGACGAGGTGTTGCCAGCCATACCCTTCCCCACTTCCGCAAAAGGACCACAATTCGCGCCCTCACATGCTGGATTCCAATCCAATTCAAATGCCTGAGAAAACCATGCCTGGTAAGAAGACGCCCATCCACCATTGCAAACCTTCTCCTCGTGCCACAGCTTTCCACTACTAACATCCGGTTCCAACTTGCTACACTCGATCTGAAGAGTAGAATTCATCGTGTACTGGAACGGCCCATCAATGATGGAGTGGATCGAAACGGGATCGAAGTACACCGGGTCACTGGATTCAGCGATGCTAGACAAAGACCCGAGAGCGGAAACTCGGTGGATGGTCCTAGGCGAAGGGTATGTCAAATTGAGCTTGTACTTGCAAACGGAGCCAATACACCCAACAACGCAAAGATCCCCTGTTCCTTCGTGAAACGTCCCCTGGCCAACGATCGTCACATCTCCCGTGGAAGCCATCTGAGGCTTTCCCCTGCCTCCCCCCCGTAACCCCACCGACGAGTACTTCGGCCAAAACCCTAGAGTTACCATGACAGTCACCCCGAACACATTGCGGGAATCTGTTAAGTCGGATTTCATTACCACAAGACGCACGCCTTGCACCTGGTTATTGTCGGACACACTCTCCGACTTGGTGAGTAAAACATGCGGCCCTTGCATGAAGGTGCCGGCCATAATGCGCAGGCTTTTCGCAATTCGCAGTTCAACTGCGGGGATTTCATCGTCTTTGATGCTATTCTTCCATGTGGTATCCACGGGGTAGCTAGGACAGACACTCTCCTCATCTAAGGCCAACACAACTGACCCCAAGTGCAACAAGAGCACTAAACTCACCGACGCGATTACCCAGTTCCACTGACGCTGCTCCGCCATGGCTCCCATGCGATGTCTCACACATCCGAGACCACGAACTCCCAACCTTGATCAAACCATTAGGAAAGCCCGAAACCCCAAAAAACCTTAAAGCTCCAGCATTTATGCATCTATCACATGTAACCCTAGCTCTGACCGACACTGTAGCTCCTCTGCCTAGTCAGCCCCTCGCCTTCTCCAATCGAAATTTCCCGACTTACCACCGAGTGATGCTAATCATCAATCATGCACTCCATGAATCGCAACCATTGGCAGCAGCTCTATACCATTTTCTAAGTGACTTCAGACTGCCCAGTCCAATAATGCGCACCTCCTACATGCGTCGTGGCAGCTTCGAACTTCCGACATGTGCGCTACACATAGTCGGTCGCCGTGCGAGTGGCGCTTGTAGTAGCTCCTCCCAGGAAACGCGGAACAGTAGGCTGCCGAAAACTGAGGTAAATAAGTAGGTGAGTAGCTAACCTCATCAAAACTTCCCTTGAATGAGATCCTTCGTCCTGCCTCACCAGTCGTTGCCGCTACTCCACGTGCAAAGGTACATACCTGGAGGTGCGCAATTCGGTATTGTAAGAGGAGGAAGAAGTTTCAACTGCACCGAAGAACACAGTAGTTTCCGGTCGTTGGAGTGACAAATTTAGTTTAGAATAGTTATGTGGACTTTTTTGCCTTCCTTGCTGCACTGGTTTTGCACTCGGATGTCAAATTCTCCAATGCTGCTCACAGTATCATGAGAGATTTGAGACTGCTTCTGAAGGTGAAGGGGCGGTACAGCTCTTAAGCAGGATTAGAGTGAAGATGTTAGATCATCTTCACCCACCAGTAAAACTACTAGTGTTCTTCGGTGCAGTTGAAACTTACAGTAAGATGTTAGATCATCTTACAGTAAGATGTTAGATCATCTTCACCCACCAGCACTAATTAACATTGGCAAATGGCATTGGTGTCAATTGGACTACATGCAATAGATAGTGAAGTCACAAGCTCAATCCACTCACTTTTAATGAATATCCATACTTGAAAAATATCCATGGAAAAAATATATGTTGAAATATCACAAATATCCATGTATTCTTGATAATATCAAATATACCTCTCAAATATGTTGAAATATCAAGAATATCCATGTATTCTTAATAATAGCAAATACATCTCTTAGATTTGTGATAATAGCAAATATAACCCTCATTGATGACAAGTTATCAGTGACATTTCTTGTTTAGTCACCATCTTGGGGCCCATACGTGTCCTATGATTATTTAATTAGTTGTCATCTAGGCCCATCTTTGACTCTTAAATTCTATATTTGAGAAGTAATTGTTGACTTTTGTACAACCTATTACAACTCCATTAATGGTCATGATGCCAATGACCCCTACTATACAAAAATGAAAGAATGGGCCTATCAAGGGCATGAACCTTAAAGGAAAAGAATCTCAATACACTCTTGTGTCACTTGAAAAGATTAAAAAATCATTCAAAGATGGTAATATATTGAATGAGAATGTCTATTGTCAAAGATAATAAGACTAGATAATCTTGAAACAAGACTAAAGACTTAAAAAGTATTGACAAGAGTGAAAAAGGCTTAACTCTTACCTCCATATATATTCTCTAACTAGAAGCTAAGAAACAATATTCTATATGTATCATGGACATACAACCAAAGAAGAGTCGAGAAGGTCCTAAGAAGGTTCTTGTAGATCCTAGAAGATTCCAAAAGATTCTAATATGTTCTAAAAAGGTTTCAGTAGATTCTAAGAAAGTTTTAGAAGATCATAGGAGATCCTAGAAGGTTCTAGGAGGTAGTAGATTATTTAGGAAGTTGCCAAAGAAGGATCTTAAGCTTGCTTTCTTCCCAAGCATCATGAAAACTTTTCAAGAAGCTTCCTATGACCTAATATAGATAGGAGTCGAGGTTGAGGGGATCCTAAGTCTTGATAATTTATTTTTTGTGGTCTAGTTAGGAGCTTCTTGCCTTATATCTAGTTATTGTTCTAATTTTGAGCTAACTCCATTTCTCGATCTTGAATCCTTTTCTTATATATGGTCCTTAAAAGTGTCATATTAAGTGTTGTCTTGCTTGAAAATGCACTAGGCACCTAGCTGTGGAAGGTGAGGTTGTATTTCACAAACATCCAAAAAATCCTAATTGGTTTCACCCATATGAGAAGAATATAATCCAAATTCCAATTCAAAAGTGTTAAAATACATTCTTCTTAGTAGCTTCAATCACATATAAACCTCAATTACCTTGTTACTTTCATATTTAAGTAATTTTGATTTTTCTTATAAGCTCCAATCCTATTTAGTGAGCTTTAACAAGCTGCAACTTCTAACCTAACTATCCACATGATGTCAAATTTTGCATGCAATTGTCAATGTAAGTCTTTTATACGCTCAAGAATTTTCAGCCCAATCCAACTTACAGATTGTGAGTAAACCTCCAAAAATTGCACTCATGTCACTTGGCTGCCAACTTGAAAAGTGAAGAAAAAATCCTAGTAGTGATTTCTCCTTCTCCAATCGTTAACTTTGATTCAAAATTGGTATGCAACTAGATCTTTAAGTCCTTCAATACTATGCCAAATTTTACCTTGATTCAACTAGTAGATCTCCATATATCATAGAAACCATACTCAATCCCAAATTGCCAACTTCCAAAATCCTCTTCTGCTAAAAACTAGATATCTCTAAACGACACAATTAGATTATCACAAAATTTTTTATACACTTTGCACAACCAATAATCCAAACAATATCAAATTTTGAACTATAGATGATACACCAATTGCACAAACTAGTCAAAATTACTAACCCTAATTATATTATATAAAACTCAAATCACCAATACAAACCTTGACTTTTGAATAATAATTTTTAAGTCTTCAAAAATCCTACAAAAACAATCCTTATGCCTCTGGAAAGAACTTCAAGCTAGCTCTTAAATCCTAACCTCCGATCTTCAAATGCCTCCCTAATATGCCCTAAGCAGTCATTTTAATGACTAGAGGTCTGATTTTGACCTTGTCTCACACACGGTCGACCTCTAGGTATCAATCTAACCTATCCTAAGGATTTTTTAGCCCAATTCTATCTTCAACTTGACCTTAATATCAACCATACCAACCATTTATCTCTTCTATCCTGATTTTATCAATTTATGGCCTTTCTAAGGCGATAAAAGAGTTTCTATATCCTAGAAGGTAAAAATACTAACTAACTTTTATCTACTTGCTATTAAGACAAGAAAATAGGCTAAGAGGCTTTCATAAAAGCCTTATTAAAATATTTTGAATTCTTGTAGAACTAATATAATAGAATATTAATTAAAAAATAATTTTTAGTCATATTTTCACCATATAATCATGTCACAAAATGACAACAGTTTGTCAAGTCTGCCATAAAACAATATTAGAAGCTTAGACTTTTTTGATAGAGAGTAGATTATTATTCTTCTTGGAAGTACTATAGCATTCTAGAAGTTGCGGATTACCTTCTCTTAGACTAATATTGTTCTTTTTTAATATTCTTTTGGTTTTTTTTTTTTTACCATAAATCAATTTTTTTTTCTTTGAATGCATGTATTTCTCTGATTTTCTATGATAGAAGGTGGAAAAATCAATATGATTGACTCTAAAGAAATCAAATTAGATTCTATTATTAATACTCTTAAAGTATTGATGATTAAGACAAAGACTTTGTGGAAGTAGAATGAAGAATTATATATGACCATACATAATGGTCAAAAAGCCAGAGTGCCTCAACCACCACATCAAATGACAATAGAGATTATAAATTTTCAAATGACTATGTTTGCTTCAAATATGGGAGGTACATCCACTCAAAGCAATAATCTGACAATAATAACAACAAAAGAATCAAGGATCAGTCTTCTAAAAAAGTTTGATGGCACCCGCTCAAAATTTTGTAGCTTTATAAATTAAGTACGGTTAATCATCTTGCTTCAACCTCAACAATATCCCATTGAAGCATCTCGTATTGGTTTGATTAGAATCTTGCTCTCAAGTCAAGCTTTATCTTGATTTGCTCCATTATTTAAAAAGAATTCTCCTATATTATACAATTTTGAAGCATTTTTGAGAGTATTGTGGAAGCATTTGGTGAATATGATAAGGTTTTTTCTTCAACAAGTAAAATTCGAAGCCATTGACAAAGAACACGTTGTCCATCAATATATGCTTCAAATTTTTGACAATTAATATATGATTTAAATTGGAGAGAAGATGCATTGATGAGCCGATTTTATTGGGGATTAAGAGACAATGTCAAGGACTTATTATTGTCTATGTTAGATCTTTAAAAATTCAATGAAGCCATTAGTCAAGTTGTGAAGTATAATAATTTTTTATTTCAATGATGACAAGATAAACATTCTTCAATTACGCCACATGTATACACTAATTATTCTGCAACTTCTTTACTATCCAATTCTAATGAGCATTTCAAAACAAATGATATGCAAATTGATGTAATTCGCTTCAAATTTCTTTCTGAGAAAGAAAAAAAGTGTCGAAGGAAATTTGGCATATACTTATATTATAGAAAACTTGGCCACAAGATTAATAATTGTTCAAAGAAATACCAGCATACATATCAAATAAAAAGTGCAGCCACATTATCAAAAGCGTTGTAGGAAAACAAAGGCATCCAGTTATAGCAAGGACTGTGCAATTGAATTCTTCACTATTATAAACCAAAAAAGATCCTACACTCTCTACCACTCCTTTCCATTGTTTTACTATACCTGTACAATTAGGAATCACAAAACTAGAATTTCATGCATTACTTAAATTGGGAGCCTTTGCATGTTTTATTGACAAAGAATTTTTTAGATCATACAAAATCTATATGGTCAAAAAATCCAAAGCCATATATGTAGAAGTAATAGATGGTTAATTTTTATCTCCTAAAGACGTCACTCATGAAAAAATCTAAGCCTATGATAGTCCAATTTGTCATAAGGACAAATAGTCTTAATACTACAATAAAATAATTATACCTTATCATCCATGTTGAATTGTGGTTTTTCTTTGCAATAAGCATTTACATTGGTCTTTTGTCATTCTTGACTTTTTTTTAACTATGCCTTCATTATTGCATATAACTTTGACAAATAAATTGCCAAATCTTTTGTTGCAAGATTATCAACTTTTAAAAAGTTAAAAATATCAAATCATAGATGATAATTATTATTGGAAAAAAAAATATTTGTTGAATAAAAGAATATATCAAATTATTGTACAAAAACTTTGCCAATAGCAAAAGAGTTGTCCAATTATCTTGATGATAGTTGTTGGTATACTTCAAATACTGCTTCACAACTTGATTCATCCATTCTATTTGTCCATCAATTTGA